GTCCCGTTACTGTTTTGAGGGCCACTTTCCAGGAGGGTGGCTTTGTGCGGCGCCGGACTGCTGTCGGACAAAGGTGAGCCGACGGACGGCCGTCGGGCCGGCATCCAGGCCAGTTTCTCCCCGTACGACGGTGGGGAGCCGCGCCTTTGTCCCGGCGCGCTGCTCAGGATAGGTGCCGTGGGAGACGGGCTGGGCCTCCGCGGGACCCTCCTCGGCGGGTCCCTACGCGGCGGGTCATCGCCTGTGATCTGGGTCAGAGCACACCTCTGCCGAGGGTCCGTCGGTGGCGACAGGGAACGGCGACGGCGACGGCGACGGTGGTGTGAGCGTGTAGTTATAATATAGTTATAGTAGGGGAAGGAAATGTGTGGGAGCGAGGCAGAGTCGGGGGATGGACGGCAAAGTAGGAATACTGAGGAGGGAAGGCGAGGGGACGGTCGGGGCAGATCTTGGACAAGGATAAATACATTTCAAGATGAGAATAAATCAAAATGTTATCAGGGAATATGACACTATGAAAAAGAAAATGAATTATGCACAAATGTCACATGCACCAAATTATAAATAAACGGAAGGAGCATCGTGCAACGTTAAAGTTAGGAAATGATGCAATTTTTTTTTCGAAACAGGAAACTTTCGTTCGCTTACCTAAAACAGCCAAAGGTCTAAGGTTAAGCCCTTCAGTTGCGCGTAACTATATCCTAATTAGTGGCTTCGAGACGAGAATGTGTCTTTCTAAATTTCAAAAGCTAATTAAACCGACAGTAGCGAACTAGAAAACGATCGTTCACCCCTATGCAGCTGGGCTAACCAAATATTTGAATGCTCCCCTTCCCCTCTCCCCCGTATCCAGCTGTTGGTATGCCGACCTCTCGCTGTACCCTAAGGGTCCTCACCAATCGCCGCTCCACCCCGCCGCGGGCACCACAGGCCCCTATCGAAGCTCCAGTTATCTTCCGGTGTATCGAAAACCGTTGAGCCGGCGCACGTGCGCGCACAGACAGATTTACGATGAACGCTGGCTTCCAGCCGTCGGCATCGATAGCATCTGCGGGCGCCGCGCGTCGACGGTGCGTCGGAACTCGCCGCAGAGCGTCGCTATCGCCGCACGCATCGCTGGCCGGGTGGCGGCCCCGACCGGTGGGGTTCCAGCCGCCCCTCTCCGGCTGGCGGCCGGCCACCAGTCGCGATGGCAGCAGCCGATATAAATTTGTTGTAATTGTCGGCGCGCTGGATGGGGATTGTCTTTTAATGAGAGCCAGGGAGACCGCGGCCGGTAACTCGCGCCCCTGCGGCGCTATTGTCTCTGGCGGCTGCGCCATTGTCGTCTCAACGGCTGGCAGCGATTCGATGTCGGCATGAAGTGGATTAAATGAATGCGAGCGCGGCTAATTTGTGGCCCATTTGTAGCTCATCAAAAATGCCCGTCCACAAAGGCCTGAGTGGCGGAGCGATGTGTCGGCGTGCCTGTTAACCCGCGCCGTGCTGGGGGGGGGGCGTTTTTACGCCCCCCCCCTCAGGTTTTTCGCGAATATCTCAAAAACGGCGGCGCGCAGCGCCGCCGTTTTTGGTACACGTGTTCCTACATCATTTCCGCACATGTTGTGAAAATTTCAGACCTAGGTCGTTCAAGGTCAGGTCACCAGGTCACGTCAAGTGACCTTACCTCAGAAAAAGTTCAAAGGCTCGCTATAGCTACACCGACTGAACGATCACTTTGAAACTTTCAGCGATTGATATGAGTAACAGTATGTATAAAATGTATATCTCGGATTTTTGATATCTGTGACCTAAGGTCAGGTCAATTTTGCGACCTCTCCATTATAAGTCAATGGGAGAAAATTGAAATGCGCCTCTTTTGGACGAATATCATTCAAAACGCTCTCAAACATCGGTTCATAGGTAAACATGACACACTGAATAGGAAAAATGCACCTGTGACCCCTCTGTGTGCCCCTGAGGTCATCTCAGGTCATGAACGGTCGCCAGCAGTTTTTTGGCTATAACTTTTGATAGAGACGTGCTAGAGCGGTGAAAACACGTCAGATGTGTTCAGCTCGACGATACGGATCGACTGATATGCAACATGACCCTTTTCGGTCAGGTCATGACCTTGACCTGAGGTCAAATTTTCAAAATGACCTTTCAAGGTCAACGAATAGTTCATTCGACGCGTCTCGACGAGAGGAACACGATGCTGGCAAAAGTAATGTCATGGCGCTTATGAGTCAAAAGTTATTGACGAAAAAACGTTTTTCGTAAAAACGGCTATTTTTGGAGTTTTTGCCCTCTGGAGGCTAAACCGTTGACCTGAGGTCAAATCTGAGAACATTACTCAGAAAGGTCTGTAAAAGGGCTATCGAATGCGCTTTTCCGCGGCGCTGTAGCTCTATCGGTTCCCGAGATAGCCGTTGGCAGTTTCCAAAATGTTGAAATAGTCAACATTTTACCTTTGGTGACCTCTGGTGACCTGACCTTTGACCTGACCCAAAAAATGACCGAAGTGTTTTCGTCCTTATTTTTGACGCTCTTTCGATTGCCGCTTACCGCGTGTCGCTACGTGGCCCAGGAGCCGAGTTAGACGGGGGGGCGTGAAAACGCCCCCCCCCCCAGCACTCGGCGGAAAGTTCAGGCCACCAGCACGGCGCGGGTTAATAGGGCCGGACATGTGGGCTCGCCACAGCCGGGCCATTTCACGCTCAAATCGATACACGCGTCGGTATAGACTGCCACACATGGAGCACATCCCAGCGGTCGATTAAACGGTCAATGGACTGCGGGGTGGCGCCTGATTGGATTACAGCTGTGAAATTCGGCTCCGAGTAGGGTGTTATACAAAATACTGAACTGGGCTTACTAGCTTGTCAAACAATGTTTAGGTGACGCGGGCTTAGCTTCTTTTCTTCATAGCCCTGTTATCTCTAAGTTTATGTCTCAGAAATCAGCAATGGTGCTACACCACCGGGAAATTCGATACGCCTACATTTTGAATGAAGAAAAGAAATAACGTAGGAAATGAAAGAAATCGCCAAATTGCAGGCATTATTAATGAAGTTCCTAATCAAAGACTTCGAAGCTAATTAAAGAATACATTCGCTCATGAATTAGTGATCAGAGGGTGCAAGTAGCATGCATAGATTGTTTCGTGGCCACAGGCCCCATAATAGCCAGGCGATGCCGCCCTGTCTGCTTCGGCAGACCATTCCGTGTCGAGCCCTGTTGGATGTGAGCTGATTTCCGATAACTCACCCCTTGTGTTATGTGGCTGATTGAATTTTGTTGCGAGAAATGTGGTACCGTGGGCGTTTCGTGCAAACCATTCGATAATAGGCTTTGGCGGCTTAAAATACTTGAACGTCAGTTCGACTTACGCTGATCAGATGGTGAAAGTTGTTTCTAGTTGGTCAACAATGCAGATGCGAAGAGATTAAGGAATTTACAAATACCCGATCATGAACAGGAAATGTCGATTATTTTTGCTTTAAGTCCCTAGAATGGAAGTGGAGGACGTGAAACTTTCAGCAAGATTCCATTCTACTTGCAGATCTAAATGCTTATGATTTTGAAAAAGGCAAATGTTTGCAACTTACTATATTCGCCTTCTGGTCATGTGACACACTGACCCAAGGATGACATTTGTGCTCGCATTTGCCCTCTGCATGCGCATCAAACGTCTGACCTTTGGGGGCTGTGCATATTATTTCGCCAGTCCTTGCGCGAATGGTGTAAGAATATTTCTAAGCTGTGTGAACGGCAACTGTTTAGTCCCAGCCTTCTATTCTATGTAAGTTAGACCGGGACATGGACAACTCATTAACATTGTTCCATATGGATCCTGTACCGTGCGCCGCTAGAACATATGCACATAATCCGGGCGCTTGAACTTGGACCATGCCATGTCCATTGTCCAGCCAACTCGATTTCACTGGACACGACATGGGAGCGCAGATAAGCCGAGCCAGTTTCACTGCCCACTTCTTACAAACCCAGCTTATCGCAGCCAGCGCTGGCTTTCAAACACGCAATGTATAAATCTGAATATAAATCATCCAACATTGGTGACAAGCATTGATCAGCTAGCTTCGAGCTTTTGTAACCGAGGTCATCAAGCCGCCTCGCCAAGTTCGCCGAATTGGAATCCATGAATCACTACAGCACCCCATTCCGACCTTTCCACAAACCGTTCTTCGCTAGAGTCATCACCTGAGTAACTACCTTCTATCGCGTACCTCCACCTGACAGGATCATCCCCTCCCACCCCGTTCCATTGTGTTGTCCGCGTCTCTCACCTCCACCAGCCGCGCCGTCTACAGCCGGCGGCGACAGTACACCGTCTCGGCCCGGCCCGTCCGCCCGGGACGCCAGAGAGCAGTGTTTGCCGTCGAACCTGTATTTGCCGAGCCGTTCGCACACGCACGCAAACAAAAACAGCCAGGTACGCTCGCCGCGGCCGCCGCCGTTCGACGCGGCGTGGTGCGGCGCGGTGTATCCGTTCGCAGACGATTAGATAGCCGGTGTGGTGCGCCGCGCAGTCCTACCTTCAGAAAGGGGGACGGGAGAGCTGAGGATGGCGAAAGGCGGGCACGTTCAGATGTGGGCGCCGATAAGGATGGCTGGTGTCGACCAGTGGCGCACTGGCGACGAGAGTGACGCCGAGGAGGCGATAGTGATGCCCTGACCACGTTCATTGATAAAGTGACCTCTATATCGCCTCATGACCTGAGCTTTGAGATTAGGGCTTTTCTACATTTGATAACAGGCTTCATGAATTATGGGTGGAGGCTTGCAAAGTAACAGCAACACTGACTAAATTTTGGTTGCGGGATGGTCCGATTAATGCCCGTCAACACTGTAAGTCGTAGAGAAACAAATTGAAATTTAACTATTGTCTACATGTCCTCATATTTCGCACAAATAGGTATTTTTGCTAAAAGTATTGCAAATGACTTCCCTCGTGGACATTAAAAAATAAAAATAGTTTTTTTTTTGTTTACCATTCAGGCAATTCATTTACTGAATCGACTGGACCATGACTTGCGTTCCATCACTGATCTGTGTACCGTGACGTGGTAGCCTGATTACCGACCCCGCACTGGTGCTGCACCCTGGCGTACCCGTCCCATCCCCTCCCCCTCCCCGGCCAGCGCGGACCATCTGCCGACGTGGCTGGGCGCGGGCCACGAGGCGCCCGCTCGCTCTCCCAGGACAGCTGTACCGGCCCCGCCGCTTCTCAAGGCTGCGCCGGCCGCCGCCGCTGGCCGCATCCGCTGCTGTGAGCGTGTACGATACGGCTCGTCCGGTGTTGTATCGGTGCCGTGTTGATTGTCGACCTCGTGACCCGCCCGTACCCGCCATCGGGTCGTTAGCCCTGAGGCTACTCGGGGCAACGGAAGGGGCGGACATACGCCGGCTCCATCGACCGGTCAGTTGGAGTGAGTGAGAGGACCGCGGTCGTTCGGAAAGCGGCGGCGGCAGCGTGGTGCTGACGTCATTGGTTCGTGACGTCACTGGATACTAGCCAGGCTGGCGAGATGGGGCCGCTGGTGCTGCTCTGCGGCTGGGTGTCGATCCTGGGCTCGCTGGTCCTGAAGTTGCCGCAGATTTTCGCCGTGGTACGCTCCGGTTCTGCAGACGGTCTCAGTCTCCAAAGTTTACTACTGGAGTGCACGGCATTCACCGTCAACTTCTGCTACAACGCCGGGCACGGCTACCCGCTGGACAGCTACTTCGAGTACGCGCTGCTGATCCCGCAGGACGTGCTGCTGATCGTGCTGACGCTGAGGCTCAGCGGCCGGCTGACGGTCGGCTGGGTGACTGCGCTGCTGACCGCCGCAGCCGTGGCCGCCGGCCTGGCCTCCGGGGCCGCGCCGCTCTCGGCGCTCAAACTGCTCCTCTCCTGCGCACTGCCCATCGGCTTCAGCTCGAAGATAGTCCAGCTGCGGGCGATTCTCGGCAGCAAGGACGCCCGCGCCGTCAGCCTGACCACCTGGCTGCTGGCGGCGCTCACCTGCCTGACCAGGATTGTGACGACGCTGGCTGAGACGCAGGACACCACCCTGCTCACCAGCTTCTCCGTCCACCTGGTGCTCAACTCGCTGGTGGCCATGGCGGCCTTCACGTACCGGAACGGACCGGCGACCAAGGTGGACGGAGTCAAGAAGACCGAGTGAAGAAGGAACGAAGAAGAACTAGGAAGAGGATCGCGGAAAATAAGGAAGATGATAGGAGACATCAGAAAAGTGTTAGCGCAATGAAGAGGTCAGAACTGACTCGCGCTCTTCCAAACGATGTAAACTCGATAGGCAACTAGGAGAAGCACTAGCTTGCAAACCATGAAAGAAATCTACGAAGAAACATTCCAAAAACAATTGTGAACCAACGCTGAAGCCGAATCGAGCGATGTTTAGTCATTTCCGTTTTAGATGCAAATCCGGAATACGGGCACTATAGTGCCCGTATTCCGGATAGGCTGCACCATGCCGTGTAACTATACGGCAGTATACGTATACGCTGGGGCGTGAACTCGTTTGGATAATCGTATCGGTTCAAGAACTTTACCGGTGATGCCGGTAATTATGGACTGGTAGTTTGTGTCTCATGGCCAGTGGCATGTCAATGATATAGGTATATCGTAACTATGTCGACGTTTCTTCTCTTCAGGAAGAAAATCTACGGGGATTCTAGGTTATAGACAGTTGTTCGATGTTTAAGCATGTACTTAAAATAGTGCCTTCAAATAGATAATAGTGTTGTACGATGCATATTGCACCTTGCACATTCCGATGCAGTAAAAGAGAATCGTATCACTGATTTTATCCATTGGGCAAGACCTGGATAATTAGGGGAAACGCGGAACGAATAAACGCTCCTAAATGAAACACGAGCTCTCATTAAAAAAACTATAAACTTCAACGATATTAGCTAGAAATTATCCATCCCTGATATGGAGCAAAATGCGATTTGATGAAGCTTGCTCCTGAGCGTCCCTGTAAACGTACAGCCCACCGCTAAAGTAATGTAGGGTTTTACCAATCTCAACGGTTGGCTTTGACTGGCGATTGTTTAATGCGGAGTGATCGAAAAGAAGATGTCAATAGCTAAAGTTGCAGCTGCAAGGGTGACGATACATATAAGCTACATTCAAAGTTTCATTGTAGTCTTGCTAAATGTTCCTAAGCTTCATAAGCAGAACATACCCATGACTGAAACCCCACATTACTTCTGCTGTGGACTGTACATCGCCGATCGATTGATGAGTGATGATATCGGGAAAAATCGCCAACTGCAATGCAGTTGGTGATTCGGCCGTGCACGTTTCTTTCAGCCGTGCGCATCCGCGCACATTTGTATGTGCACATTTGTATGCACATTTGTATGTGCACGGATTTGTATGTGCGCGGAAAAAAGCGTCAAAACCGTGTCTTAATTTACGAAAACAAAGCGTAGGTACTTATAATGCAACGCTTCCAACAAAATAATTTTAAATCCTCAATTACCATGTATGTATATGGTATATTTAAGATGGTTATCATTGACATATGCAGTGCAACCGGTTCCCATGTGCATTGCTACACTGTGCAGTGCCGTTCCTTCCCAAGCCTAGCGCCGTCGGTCGCTTCGTATCCCCAGCCCGTCCTCCCCACGTGTTTACTCCGTCTGTCCCCCGCGTGTTAGCCCGTCCGTCCTCCACGTGTTAGACCGTCTGTCCCAGGGTGTCTGTCCTGCACGTGCTCGTGGCGCTGGGCGAGAACTGAGGCCACATTGGAGCAGCGTCGAGCGCACCTAGCGTCGTTCATTGTTATCGTGCGAGTCAACAGGCCTGGCGCACAGTTGTGGACTCCGATCGGGCATGCCCTCCCTACTGTACACACAGCTAACACAAACACGCACAGTGTATGTATACACTATACACAGAAGGATGGCGAGACTTATCAAAGATTGGTTAATGTTTTCTCCATGCAAAGCGTACTGACTGAAACAAGGAAACTGACAAAGGGAAGGAGACAGATGATAAGGCAGACAGTAGCTGACTATATAGACCTGCGCACTAGGGTGTATCGTCGAATTTTGATTTTTTTTAATCGTCTTCACTACTAAATTTTATTGGTCCCTGGCATGTTTGAAGCCGTAGGATACCAATCAAAAAAATCTGGGACGAAAACCTAGCCTGCTGCGAGCGGTTGAACGGAAGCCTGTCGGGACGGCGCCAGGCGTTGAAGTCTCCCCGTTAGTTACGCGCACACTACCACCACGCGGCGGCTGGAGCCGTGCCGCCGTGTTCCCGGTCAGCCGTGTTTTAGCGTTCACTGACGGGTCGAGGTGATTATTCTAAGCTTTCCTAAGAAGCTTTCTGCCCCGCAGCTCATTATTGAGCAAGAATATCGCACAAACTGCATAGAACATTGACATGCAGGTTGTCGGCACATATGGAGAAGGGGATGTTTTGGTTAATGCCTCCTTTAATAGGAAGATATTGTGGAAGAACAACACATTTCTCTTGGAAATTACTCATCCTCCTTCTTCCTACGTGCCTGCTTTAGTAATCGAAGTACCCCTATTGACTCTACGTTCTTGATTCGGCTGTCGATTTTATGCATGGAATTCCGCTATATTATATTTTCTCGCTCAATGTCCCCTGAGCTATATTGAGGCGTCACGGGACAGCAATGCTCAGCACACAACTGCAGAGAAAAAGTCAATGTGGTCATGCGTTTTGTATGCCAAAATGTGTGAGCCTTGGCGTGTACCAGCAGCCGTTGTCACCATTGTAATTTTCACGACTTTATAAGGATGCAATTGCCCACTTCCCAGTTCCCAGACTGGGTTTGGAGATATAGTTTTACAGAAACATTTAGGAATGTCTGTAATGTAAGTTAAAAGCTAATACCGAAAGGAATCCACATATTTTCGAATTTCCTGTTTGCTGTATTGCTTAGTAAATGCCAGACGTCATGATGGCATGGTTGCCATTGATGGTATGCCGGATGGCCAGGGTACGAACTCACGGTAAGTCAGCTTGGCCGGCAGGCATCAACAGGCACAATAGTCTTACACTGATATCGTCACCCTCAGTTATTCGTCACCATTCAGCAGCAGGCCCAGAGCTTCGGGCTTTGAACCGTAAGGCACAGGTGTAGGAGCAAGACATTGCGCCGATTCGAAGGGCTGGAAGGGCAGCATCGCGGGGGCTGGAATGCGCCTGAGCGGCTGAGACCATCCCATTGGGACGGGGGTGTTCTGGATGCACTCAGCCGCTCATGCTGGGAAATGCATCCAATGGAGCTCTACCCCATCCCCACCCGTTTCGAATGATTAGGCTGACCTTTAGTCTAGAACAAAGAAGGATGATGGTTGGCTGGTCCCGAGGATAGAAAGGACAGGTAATGACATCATATAATGAATCGAAGACGGCCCCGGCCCGATCCTCTGATAGAGGCTCATCAACACGTATCTCGTTGTGGACCATTTCGTTTTCCTCCACCGTGGTTTTTGCACCGACCTCAACGGGTTGGAAGATTACGATGTTCAGAAACCATTAAGGTCGTAATTGTATATTCGTTGAGTTAGGTTGGCCTTTCCATTCCATGAAGACTACTTTATAATTATTGGATGATAGGATGAGGTTTTCACTGTGTTGAACTTGTCCTACCTGCTCAGTGAACGAATATACAACGAATATACAATTACGATCTTAATGGTTTCTGAACATCGTTACCTTCCAACCGGTTCAGGTCGGTGCAAAAACTACGGTGGAGGAAAACGAAATGGTCCACAACGAGATACGTGTTGATGAACCTCTATCAGAGGATCGGACCGGGGCCGTCTTCGATTCATTATATGATGCCATTACCTGTCCTTTGTATCTATCCTCGGGACCAGCCAACAGTCATCCTTCCTTGTTCTAGACTAAAGGTCACCCTAATCATTCGAATGGAGAGCTCCATTGGATGCATTTCCCAGCATGAGCGGCTGAGTGCACCCAGAACACCCCCGTCCCAATGGGATGGTCTCAGCCGCTCAGGCGCATTCCAGCCCCCGCGATGCTGCCCTTCCAGCCCTTCGAATCGGTGCAATGTCTTGCTCCTACACCTGTACCTTACGGTTCAAAGCCCGAAGCTCTGGGCTTGTTGCTGAATGGTGACGAATAAGGGTGACGATATCAGTGTAAGACTATTGTGCCTGTTGATGCCTGCCGGCCAAGCTGACTTACCGTGAGTTCGCACCCTGGCCATCCGGCATACCATCAATCGCAGCCATGCCATCATGACGTCTGGCATTTAATAAGCAATACAGCAAACAGGAAATCGAAAATATGTGGATTCCTTTCGGTATTCGCTTTAACTTACATTATAGACATTCCCAAATGTTTCTGTAAAACTATAATATCTTCAAACCCAGTCTGGGAACTAGGAAGTGGGAAATTGCATCCTTATAAAGATAAAGTCGTGAAAATTACAACGGTGACAACGGCTGCTGGTACACACCAAGGCTCACACATTTTGGCATACAAAACGCATGGCCACATTGACTTTTTCTCTGCGGTTGTGTGCTGAGCATTGCTGTCCCGTGACGCCTCAATATAGCTCAGGGGACATTGAGCGAGAAAATATAATATAGCGGAATTCCATGCATAAAATCGACAGCCGAATCAAGAACGTAGAGTCAATAGCGGTACTTCGATTACTAAAGCAGGCACGTAGGAAGAAGGAGGATGAGTAATTTCCAAAAGAAATGTGTTGTTCTTCCACAATCTCTTCCTATTAAAGGAGGCATTAACCAAAACATCCCCTTCTCCATATGTGCCGACAACCTGCATGTCAATGTTCTATGCAGTTTGTGCGATATTCTTGCTCAATAATGAGCTGCGGGGCAGAAAGCTTCTTAGGAAAGCTTAGAATAATCACCTCGACCCGTCAGTGAACGCTAAAACACGGCTGACCGGGAACACGGCGGCACGGCTCCAGCCGCCGCGTGGTGCTAGTGTGCGCGTAACTAACGGGGAGACTTCAACGCCTGGCGCCGTCCCGACAGGCTTCCGTTCAACCGCTCGCAGCAGGCTAGGTTTTCGTCCCAGATTTTTTTGATTGGTATCCTACGGCTTCAAACATGCCAGGGACCAATAAAATTTAGTAGTGAAGACGATTAAAAAAAATCAAAATTTGACGATACACCCTACTGCGCACGGCGAACGAGAAACTTACTGACTTACCAAATGTGGTGGTGGAAATGCTTTGAACGTTTTGGTAGTAGGAGAACTGAAGGTAGCAGTCTGGACTCATTGGAGATAACATTGTCAGAGACACTCTCTTACAGTCTCCATGCTAAAAGGACTGGACCGATTGAAACGCATCCATCGGGTGCAGGTCCTTTGAACAACCAACCGGTCCAAAGCAGTGCAGAGGAGAAGGGAGATGAGATCGAGGGGGAGGGGGAGTAAGAAAGACGAGCGCAGTTATCCACTATCAGGACATGATCGGACGTGAGCCCACGACGACTCAGATCGGCCTCTCGTGTCACGCGCGTCGAGTGGCCCGACTAATGGCGTGATCAAGATGAGCGCTATCACACGGGTGATATGACGTCACACGATATGATATAGCGTGTCTCGGCGATTAGTCAGTCGGTCGCCAAGATGAAGCGGCCTTCAGTGGTGTGGGAACCGCTGTAACGGAGGTGACCGTGAAATTTCATCATGCAGTTGTGATCTCTATTTTTAACTTCACCTCGTGATAACGGAACACACGTCAAGGACTACATAAAAGAATGGAAATAGAAAAGGGCTTTGCTCTAGAAAAATGTTTGATATTGTATTTTTTTCAGCGCAGCAGGTTAACCGTTGGATAATGATCTATGGAGGTGCGATGCAAACCGACTACAAAC